AGTTTAATCTCATAAATAACCAGGAAATATTTGTGAAATATAAAAAATAAAATATAAAAAATTTAAACTGTGTTTCAAAAGTGTATTATGGATATTATTTGTTGTTCTACATTAAAGTAGGTCAGTAAAATGACAGAATTTTTTTTTAGAGTCTATGGTTGGTATTTTAAATGTCATATTGCACAGAAGGCATTTCAGAGTTCTCTTTACTTCCACTCGTGGTTGTTCTGTTTCCATTGAGGTGCAGGACTTTAGATTGCAGGAAAAAAAATGAGCTACAGTGAATAAAAATGTGACAGGAGCAGAAAAACGTCCAAAACCTGCATGGAGTTCAGAGTTAAGCATTGTTGACGTCTAAAACAAATGTGCAGTCAGTAAAACTGCATCGTAGCGATCATATCACAATGCAGCAGCTTTCCATCTCAGATAAATGGGTCAGTCATATTATTTTGACAGTTATGAGCTGACCACAGAATAACAGACATGTCTGTCAGTGTGCTCCAGTTCTATTTCCAAACAGCCAGCCATTTATGACTCCTGCCCCACATTGGTTGCTCTCTGCTTGGGGAGCGGAGCCAGGAAAGGAGGGGGCTTGGCTCAGGCCCTGGGCTTCACCACCACCCAAATACCACACACACACACACACACACACACTCATACGTCAATGCTTGAGAGAGAACGCTTGGCGAGACTTGAAAAGCCTTCATTGACGTCTTGGCTGCTGTGTACAACACACACACACACACACACTCATACGTCAATGCTTGAGAGAGAACGCTTGGCGAGACTTGAAAAGCCTTCATTGACGTCTTGGCTGCTGTGTACAATTTGCTTCCTCGTCTGTCTGCGCATACACAAAAACAAACACACACGTACACACTGTTGTCTGCAAGTCTGTGGGTGATCAGTGCCATTTATTACACTGTGGGGAAAAAGACTGAACTGAATGAAAGAACTCACACACACACACACAGCTCTCCCCTTCATCCGTCCACCCCCTCACTAACTTAATTGCTTCCTCTCCATCTCTTTATTCTTTCATGATCAACATCTTATGTCGCAAGTTCATTTAAATCACCCTTTATTTGAATTAGACTTCATACACAAGTCATGCAGTTTTAGATGTTATTGTCTTTAGCCCTTCAGAGCCTTTGTTGTTTATGAGGTGAATTTTAAAATATCAAACGTTTTTGCCTTTTACAGCATGAATATCTTCGACAAGATGTAAAATGACCTCACAGTTTTCAGACCCCACAGCTGAAACTAAGTGCAGCCAAAGCGATTACACTTTCAGCACAGAGATTTATGTTTTATTTGTTTCTGTGCTTCACATGTCCACCTTTATTTTGACTGACTCAGGATATTTTTTTTCATCTTCTACTTTTGTTTAGTTGCTGTTGGCTGGAAGGGTTGTGTTTCTCTAACTTTCTCTTTAAAATACCCTAAACTTGTTCTATTGGATTCAAGTCAGGTGACAAACTTGCCCAGGTTAAAGTTTTCACTTTTTGCTTTTTTAGAAACTTTTGTGTGTTTTGGATGGTTATCACGCTGGAATATTCCTCTTCTGCCAAAGTTTTGCAGACTGGGAATCATCTTGTCAGCCCGTATTTTTGTTTTATCCACAGGATTCATGGTGTCTTATTTCAATGTTGTCTCACCTTCTGCACTCACCCAGCCTCACATAATCACACTCTCACCTCGGCGCTTCACTCTCAGGACTACGCATTCACTGTGGTGGTCCTGGTCAAGTTCACACCAAACATTCTGGACCACACCTGAGCCGAACAAATTTTCCGTGGTCTCATCTGACCGAAGAATGTGCTCCCAATATTCATCAAGCTTCTTTTTGTTTTCTTTAGACAAGTGTCATCTTGCAGTTTTGTACCAAACAGCAAGTAAGAGTGTTTTTCTTGAATGCCATCCATAGAGGTTGATGCATGATGATTTTAGGGATTGCTTTTTATGCTGTCTGTGCTACCACAGAAACTTCAATTCTGTTGATCTGTTGTATCCTGTATACACAAGTATATACTAACACTGAACAGTTAAAGGATCACCACCATGCTTAGTGTTCCCTGTTCAGTAATTTGACTGCAGTTATTGCCCCCCGAGACTAAATTATTCCCAGAGATTGAAAGAATTTCCTCCATTTTTTTTCGCAAAGACTTAAGACCTTCCATGATACAGTGTGTTTTTTTCCATGTCACAACCTTTGAAATCAGTGATAGCCACATAGATGTAGAAGCATGGCCATCATAAGCCCACTCCACTATAATGGCCAGACTTAGCAACACTAAAAACAGTTGCAAATTGATTATCTTTTATTAGAAAAACTCATTTTTTGCCACCAGTTTCTCCAATGTTGTCACCAGGTCAATCAAAGATTTATGTGCCACGGACTGACGTAAAAAAAAATTTTGCTTTCATAATGACAGAAAAAGTTTGGAAACCACTGGTTTAGATAACCTGACTTCTGATAGTCTGTTTCCTTGTGTGTCCAAACTCAAGATCTCAGATGTTCCCAGATCTCTGCAATACCTGTAGCCAGTATGGTGTTAACATATCTGTTAGGGATGATGAACAAAACTGCAAAAACTGGGCACAATGTGTAATAAACTGGAATAACTAGAAGTGCTCAAGAAATGTAATATTAAGAAAAAAAAGCTTTTGTGTAAACTGTACAATAAAGGTTCAAAACATTCAGCTGACACTAATCAAGAAATTGCTTTAAATCTCTGAAGGTATCAGTGATAAATATTTCCCTCTTTGTATTGCTCTTTCAGACTCCAGACAAATGCAGACGTCTCCATCTTGGTCCTACGATCAATCATATCCCTACCTTGGCCAGATAACTACGCCGACCGTGCACACAGCCAATCCTCTATCGCCCAGTCGCTCTTCGCTCAGTGACCTGTCATCTCGACTCACAGGTAGCACACCTGAGCATGGACACACACAGAGAGAACACACAAAGAAGTGATTGGGTTGTAACCTTTGTCCTTTGCCCTCTCTCAGGTCCTGACCTCACAGCCTTTGGTGACCCCAGAGTGACCTTAGAACGGCCTTTCAGCTCCCTCCCTTCCTTGCCTGACTCCCGCTTCTCCGACCCTCGGGTGCACTACCCTCCCACAGCGGCCGCCTTCACCTACACACCCTCCCACAACCCTGTCTCCAATGGCGCCCTTGGCATCACCATGGCAACAGCCATGGCGACCACACCCGGGGGGCGGTACCATACCTACCTGCCACCCCCCTACCCTGCGAACACCCCGCACCAAGCTCAGAATGGGCCCTTCCAGTCCACCTCGTCACCGTATCACCTCTACTACTCCACTGCCGCCGGCTCATACCAGTTCTCCATGATGGCTGGTGGAGGAGGCACCAATGACTCACGCTCGCCTCCAAGAATCCTGCCACCATGCACCAATGCCTCCACAGGCTCCTCTCTGCTGCACCCCTCTTTGCCCAATCAGAATGACGGGGTGGGTGTGGAGGTGGAGTCTAGCCACAGTAGCTCCCCAACAAACATGGCTGCTGCCGAAGCTGTCTGGAGACCTTACTAAACTCCCTCTTCGGCGGTCAAGGACAAAGGGTGTGCTCATTTGGGATGGTCATTTGATGGCGGACACTGGCAAGGGTGGATCAAACTTACATCATTGAATACGGTGGGAACTTCTGGTCCCTCAGTGACTGGTCAACTGATGATTTTGATATTTCTCTTATTGTCTACAAATCCCATGAAAAGACCACCAAACCAGACCAAAGACCAACCAACAAATAATGTTTATGTTTGTCTCTGAGTACTTTTAACTTTCAGGGCATGTGGCTTTTAGCTGTTAGTCTGCTTGTTTCTCTGAAGACATAAATCTTTGAAAACATTTCACTGAAAAAAAAAAAAAAGTTCAGTAAATTCCTACAGCAGCAGTGCACAATAGTGATTATCAGTGATTATTTGTATTTAAAGATAGGGAGCGTTTGTTTCTGATTATTCTCTGTAGCTTTACTGGCAGGAGTGAGGTGTGGGTTGTGGGTCTGCACAGAGGAATATGATATGTTAGACTTGATGGACACACAGTACTTGGTAGTGGGATACTCCAAGTGTTGCTTTGGGTCTGCACATTGGATGTTGACAATAAGAAAAATATTGAGACTTATTTTTTATGCTCACAAACCAACAAGAAACTAACTATTGGTGTTCAAAATTCTGGAATTTGAGATATTTTGTCCTTAGTATTCCTCCCAGGACTGAGAGGATGTTAGAACATCAACAATAGTATGAATGGAAGGATTCTGATAAACATGAGGGTTGATCAAAAAGTTAAGACCATATCTATAAAAAATAAAAGACGGACATGATTTACATTTAGCCTCGTAAAGGTAGTCTCCTTTTACAGTGATACCATATTCTCAGCGTTTCGGGAAGTCCCATTCCGTAAACATGCCAAGCATTGTCTGCAATGAGCACTGAATCTCCTGCACTGTGTCAAACCCTTGAGCTTGAATGCCATTTTGGGGACAATGAAAAAGTTGCACGTAGCCAGATCTGATGAGTAAAGCTGATGGAGAGCGATGATGGTGTTGTGGTGGAGTACTGGTATTATGTCGTGCCACAATCAGTCACCTCGGGATGTTATAGTAGCGCTCTGCCTTGATAGTCTGACCCTAGGAGATGAGTTCCTGGTGGCAACCATATGCGTTTTGAGGATAACTATCAGCATGGTCCTGGTGCTGTCCTGACCTGCCGTGCCTTGTCCAGGTTCAGAACTTGCAGCTTTTTCTACTGTGAAAATTGTTGTTTATTCTCTGAGTGATAGCCTACAAACCCAACTCATGTTACCAGTGATGATCCTCACATTAAGGTTGATGATCACAAACACATCAACAGTCTGAGAACTTTTTGATCAATCCTCACACTTTAGGGTACCACCCTCCCAACTGTTGGGAAACTGTGACTTAAGAGCACTAGATTGTTTGTTTTTATTGGTTTGAATTTTTGGGAAAACATCCCCCGGCACTGTACGTCATCACTCGACCAGGAGCCGGATGAGCACGCCCAGTATAAAACTGTCTACTGACAAACAATGTTGGTCAATGAAAAGCATTCAGAATGACTGACAGGTGCATCAGCCAACAGACAGCGAGTGGACTGTCTCATCAGATTATGAAGGCTTGACATCCCAGTGTCCCCTCTCAGGACGGAGAACAGGACTCCAGCGAGGAGCTTCTATGATATGAAGGACCTAAATGGACATAACTAGAGAGAAACAGGGTAACATTTTGGTTTTACACTGACAAGGTGCATGCTGCAGCACTGGACTGATCTCAGTTCAGCATCCTTTGTTAAATATCAGGACTTGTCCCCCCATGAATGTTGTTGTGAATAGATGATTTGCTCATGCCCAATGTTGTGATGGCCTGTTTGTGTTTACTGTCACCCATCCTTTTTTTTAAATACATCATTTTTTTCTCCATAATGCTTTTAACATTCTGCTCTTACTGCTAACATTTTTAGAAAAAAAAACAGCTCATCATGTTTTGAAAATCTGAAAACAAGTTCACTTCACTTACTATAGATTTTTCCTGCCCCCGAAAGTCAATTTAAATAGGCATATTTTACTGCTTCAACACTGAGGAAAATGCTGAGTTATAGTCAAGTTCAAGGCCTGACTTATGTTCTTAGACAGAATATTGGTTTTGGAATGAAAAGGCTGAAACTGAGTCACTGTCTTCCATCAGCAGCTTTCATCCAAGCTGATCTATTCCGTCCTCCAGCCCCCCTTCTCTTGAATTTTGACTCATTGTCTCACCACACTGAAAAACCATTACAGCATGGAGTTTTGTAAAGTACTTTAATTTATTTCTACAATACCTTTTTTGGTAGCATTTAATGTCTGTTTCTGTCTGTGTGCAATGAGTGTGTGTGTGAGAAAGAGTGCGTCACATTTGCCTATGATCCACTGATGATTTGTACTGTATATAGCAATGGCTGTAAATGACACCGCATTTGATCATGTTTTCATCACTCACACACACACACTCACACATACACAATAGTTTGTTTTGACATTGTTGGTAGTGCACCTTTGGTTTTGATTTATATAAATATTCTTGTGTAAAAAATACAACTGGTTACCGGTGGTGAGATTTGTTCACTCGCTTATCTTTCTCTTTCTATAAAATTCTCTCTTGCACCTGTGCCAGAATGCCCTCAGTCACCACACACACATACACATTTCATCCTTTGCTATTCCTGAACCTGAAGGAATTTCTACAGGCAAACAGACAAGCCCTAGCTTGCCTTCACTGCCAGTTCACATACACGCACATGCAAAGGTTGCTAAATAAAGGTGGAGTGATTGCAGCCAGATGATGAGTACACAGCATAAAAAGCTGATCTACTTCAGGCAAAGGTCAGGAACAACAATGCTGGGTAGAGTGCACAGCTTCTTAACTAATAAGTCGGGATGTCCCAGTCAAGTTTTTCTTTGTCCCAGATGTAATCTGAGTTATTTTATACTTAGTATGTGCCAGTACCAGATACCATTTTCCTGGATTATACACACTTCAGTTGTTGTAGATTAGATATAGGACCTGGTTGCACCACCAGAATAAACTTCTAACTTTCAATACTGCAGCAACCAGAGGAGGTGAGCATTTCTGTGTTGGCAGAGAGCATTAAGGGGCTTAAGCTGGTAAAAAGGCACTATGACAAAGTCTTCTGTGAATGCTAATGACCCCCAGACAGCACAGCCGTATTAGGTCAAATTGGGATTCATTAAGATATTGTTCTCAGATACCAGTGGTATAAGTAATAGCTGTTTTCTTAACCTGTTTCAGTGGCTTGATGAGTAATACTGGTCCATTGCCATTAAGAAGTGTGTTAAATTTACAGTATGTTCTCAATTAATCAATCACTGATCCATATTGCTGCCTGCCCATGTTATAAAATGATTCAGATACAACAATGTGTGACAGCAAACATCAGCAAAGGATCAGGCATAGGTTCTTGCCGATACCGTCAAAAATTGCCTTGATTGGCCCCAACCTAAAACACCTACTGACAGGTGATGCAAACATAGAGCAACACCCTTAAAACACAAGAATGACAATACTTGGAGAGTGACTTTATTTTGTAGACATCTTCATCTTTTAAGGTTGCAAATAATGTGTCATAGTGAGACAAGTTTTAGGACAATTAAGTGTATTTTGCCCAATTGTGCAAGGGCTACAAAACCGCTACTGCAAGATTCCGTATGTTTCAAAATGTAATTTTATTCTTTTATTGAGCTCCGTAGCGAAATTTGTTCTCTGTATTAATCCATCCTAAGAAGTAAAAACTCTGAAAGGCATTCATACTCGTTGCGTAAATCGACTTGCACAGACCCCTCTGCAGACATCAGCCTCAAAATTGAACTGTGCAGACTGTCTGCACTGCATGCTGAATGTACATGTGCCAGGAAAACAGATGGTACTTATTTCAGATGCTTGTTTTGTACAAGGGCATTCTCAGTCATCCACACCTTTATAATTCATACTGCTATGTCTTTTCAACATGAGAATTTCATTTTAGGGAAGACAAAGAAGTCACAGGGAACCGAATCTGGTGAGTAGAGGCAGCACGGAACAAATATAGTGTTGTGGTCGAAAAAGCTGACAAAAAAAAGTCGGACTAATTCACAGTGTATAATAATGTGAATGTTGAACAAAAAAACAGCATGCTCAAGAGCTAGTACGTCAAGTTTGGTCTTGGAAACTGCATGGTCTTTCACGGTTAAAACAGTTGTTTCTTCTCTCAGTGGTAGCTTCAGACCCAACTCTTATCACCAGTGATGATTTTCCACATGAAGGTTGGATCATCCTGGGTGCTGGGATGTTTACCCCAGTTTGAGCTTCATGTACAAATGAACAGTAGGTCACACAAACATGTGTAACACAGGTGTGACAGCTTGGAGTCATGTGACTTCCTGACACATGACGGTTGCTACTCACACATGTCACCGTGATGCGCTCAATGCACATGAACCACTAACAGTTCCACTACATTACTCTTGTATGTTGCCAAGGATAGAGCACAGTGAAGGGAGCTGATTAATGTCCAGCAGGGAAAGTACTGGAGAACATGCAAGTATTGTTCATGGAAAACCTGGGCTGCAGAAAACACATTACCTACAAACTGTGTTGTTAGGCTCCAAGCCACTTGGAGTTTTATCCAGACAGTTTTCTTGATATAAAAACAACCACACCAGCATTTCGCATATTTTATCTATTCAATACAAGAGCATTTTGACCACTTTCCTGATCATAACACGTTTCTGGTTGCTCAATGTATTTTTCTTGGATTCAGAGCAATCATTGGCATCTTTCGAATTCACCCACTGCTCTATCAGTGTTGAGCTTTCAGGGACTTGACTCAACAAAAAAACTTGACAACAACATGAGCAGACATCATGAACACATAACATACTTGCACAGTCATGTTTCCATCACTATAGAGGAATGACTGAAACTGTCCTGCAGTGCAGATCATAGTAGGTGAACAGAGACACCTAGTGGTGTAACTGCATTCTGCCACCTTATAACCACTGTATGTATTTCCAGGAAATTAACCTCAGTTCCTATAACCTGTAAAGCTGAAAGTTTAAGATCCATCCATCCATTATCTATACACCGCTTAATCCTCACTAGGGCCGCGAGGAGCTGGAGCCTATCCCAGCTGACTCAGGGCGAAGGCAGGGGACACCCTGGACAGGTCACCAGTCTATCACAGGGCTACACTTAGAGACAGAGAACCATGCACATTCACATTCACACCTACGGACAATTTAGAATCACCAAGTAACCTCAACATGTTTTTGGACCTTTGGGAGGAAGCCGGAGAACCTGGAGAGAACCCACGCTGCACAGGGAGAACATGCAAACTCTACGCAGAAAGATCCCAGTGTCCTCACCCCAACAGTCCAAAATTCAAGATAACAAACAATCAGATTTTAAGGATTTTGAGCACAACTCTCAGTGTCACTCATTGTCAATTCTACTATGACAAACAACACTTAAAGAAAACTACAAAGTTTGGGTATCTTGGGCAAACTCTTCTCAAAAAGGGGTTCAATGAATCTGATGCAGGTCAAATATAATATAAAAAAATCAGCAGGCCTGCTTTAAAGTCATTAGCAATCAATTATCATCCGTGCGTCACATGCTTAAGCATCAAAACAGCTTTCTCTCATCCAGCCAACCAACACAGACAAGGATTGATTTCTCAACACCGGCCATCATTCGGTGCTCGGCAGAGCTTCAGATGTGATTGATGATCCAAAGTAATGACAACTGAAGGAGAAATTAAGAGGGAGCCAAAATTTACATAATATCCTATTAATCACTATGACAGAGGGGGAGGGAGGTTCGGTGATGGTTGGGGGGTGATGGAGCTGCAGCAGCACATGTGTATGAATCTCCGACAGATATTTATTTATTATGATATTTATTTCTTGGGTTATATTTGAGTATACTGCAAAATCAAAGACTTTTGAGACTTTTTTGTGTAGTGAATCAAGGTGTCATTTGAGTGTTGAATAGTTTGGTACCCTCAATGTGTAGTGCGCTGTATTACAAATCTTTTAAAGTTAAAGCTGAATGATTAACATGACATGTTTGATAAATTAAGGGATGGTAGATATTAGAATACAATTAATTTAACCTAAATCATGACTCAGCTGCTTCAATCCTGAATGAAATGGGCAAAAAAAAAACCCCAAAAAAACGACATTGGTGTTGTCAATATTAACAATAGGAAAGACTTATAATATCAGTTTCACATTATATTGGGGGGATTGCAACCTCAGCTACTGTCAATAATACACCATGTGCAGTGTAAAAGTGTAAAGTTACATTCCGGATCAAAAAATATCGCCATTAAAACCCAATAAAACTGCTTTATTTATCTTTTTTTTTATGTTACTGCCTTGAAATCATGAATTCTATGTTATTTGGGTTTTACTTTTTTGAGCCATGGATTTAAACTGGTCAGTTTTACTATTTTCCACAAGGTTGTTCACTTTTGTTGGATTTGGTATGTGGAGCAAATAATTTGCAATTAGAAGATAAGAGATAAGATAAGATATGCCTTTATTTGTCTCACAGAGGAGAAATTCACGTTGTTGTTAGCAGCATTACACATAGAGATACACACATACTAGACAGAAAAATGTACATATAAATATAAGAAATAGTGCAAACAAGTATAAAAGTACACATAAAAGAGAATAGTGCAAACAGAATATAAGAATGGGCTTCTGAATGGGGGTACATATAAAAGATATATATATATGATAGGGAATAAATATATAATAATAATAACAATAATAATAATAATCATAGCAATAATGATAATGATAATAACAATAATAATAAGCAGTGCAAATGCAGATATATACATACATATATGTTGAGAGATGGTGCAAATAACCAGTGACGTTTAAATAAATACTGTTAAATATGAGTAATGCTCTTTTTTTGGTATATTAACTAGTGTTAACTAGAATCACGACTAATTCGATGAAAATGGAAAATAATATTATTATAAATCATTTTTGTATTCGCTTTTTTGACATGAACATTTTTGTCCTTACGATCCGTTGTGCAACTTTTTAAATTTTAAGTTTCAGGATGAAGAAGCGAAAGTAAGCTTTAAATTTGAAATTTGGTTCCCGATGCGTTCAAGACTAGATGGAAAAGTCTTAAGATTTATATCACACATGCGCAGATGTTGCACATTATTCATATTTTTTAGTTCAGCGGGAATGCGATTTCTATTCATATTGTTTATAAGGTTATAATAAGCAGTGTGGTGATTTTAACTGTACATATACACTCTTTTTCATTTCGAAAGATAGAATATTGATCTACTCCTTACATTTGTAAAGATGCACTGATTTTTGCCATGGACGTAAACGCAACGTCTTTACGTCAACACGCTACGCGCCAAATTTGTAAAGTGCGGAAAGGACAACAACAGAACAGCGGCGGCTCCGGTTTTTGTTTTTAACGTTTTGTCCTTGATTTTAATCTATTTTTGATAAACTGCCCCTCGTCAGAATGTCTCAGCAGGCTGGATATTCGCCCAGCTTCAAGCGACCGGCTGAAATCATGCGAATGAGGAGGAAAAGAGCCCGAAGCGACGCCGGAGTTTTCTCCAGCCCGAGCGGCCAGAGTTCCGCTGACAGTCCGGGACAAAGTAGCTCGTCTCCGGCCTGCGTTCGGCCCTTCTCCCCGGGACCGCTTTTCAATACGCAGAACCGTTCCGGAGGTGGAATAAAACGCAGAAACCCGTTTGCCAACATTGAAAATACTTTCAGCCCCAAAAAGAAACTTCTCATTTATAACGAGGAGGATGGCGGCGGCAGTGCAGCAGCTGTGGACGGTTACAAGAAACCGACAGAAAAGGAGGGAGATGAAGAAATGTCAACGAGGAAAGTAGGGCTGTCTTTCACTGCCAGGTTGACTGAGGCAGAAAAACGGGAAGATATTGCCAGTAAGGTTGGTTATAACACCAAACTACATGTTCGTTTTGTACTTTATAGCATAAAGTTGGCTCAAGTTACCCACAACTGATTACAAACACGCAACGGAACTCCCTTTAAAAAATCGCTTGTTAAGACCGAGTGTCACTGCCTAAATACCCGCTGAACCGTTTTCTCAAATTCCATTTTTGCTCAAATAATTGCACATTTGTGTATTTTACATGAGCCGAATTGATCCAAACATACGGTAAAGCTTTTCTAATGCTGGGGTGACACTGAAAAAAAACTTTTGTAATTATAAAATAGATGTTTGTTAAATTCCTTCCTTTTCTTATTGGTCTTCTGCTGTAGAAGAGTTTCTCTGAAGATGATTCTCTATTCGAAGAGGAGGAGGAAGATATTGAACCCCCACTGCTGAAGGTTTGTGTACTTTCCCCACAAGTCGAAATATGCATGCAAAAGGAAACCCTTCCTCATGCTCTACTTGCCTGAGTTTCTACAAATGTGCTATAAATGTCATCTGTATTCCCAGAGCCCCCAGGCCATTGCTCCTGCATCCATAGCTGTTCCTGTATGCACAGAGTTTCCAGCAGACTGGAGCCTGAAGACTCGCCTCCTCTTCACTTCCCCGCTCACCCTCTCATGGGCAGAGCAGCCCAAAGCCCAGGAGGAAGCTCTGGGGCTCAGCCAGCACTGCAGGGCTCAGTTTAGCAGCCTGCCTCACAGCCTGCAGGTAGAGTCATTACATGGATCAAGGAGACAATTATGACTCTGTAATCGCCATTTACTCACTCGGATTATCCTCCCTGTCCCCTACAGGATCCCAGGTCCTGCTCGGAGCTTCGTTGTGCCTTCCAGCAGAGTCTGGTGTACTGGCAGCATCCCTCTCTGCCCTGGCTCTCTATGTTTCCCAGGATCAACGCTGAGAGGAGCTTTACCGGGAAGAGCACCCCATGGGCTCAGGATGCAGCACTACAGCAGAGTCTCATGAGGGAATGGTAAGGCAGATGATATAGCCTCAATTGCACTCTGTGGACACTATGATTGCATAGTTTTGTTATGATACTACTTTCCTAACCTGCTGGGAGTACTCAATTCAATACATGTGCAGTAAGTTGTGTTTCCGTATTCTGAAAATCCATGCTATTGCCAACCGTGTGTGTGACTGATTATGTAGTGTAGCCCTGGCAACCCTGCACATACTTGCGGATGCAGAATGTATAGCTTATTCTTCATTGTAGTGCTAATATATTACTTTTCTGGTTACCTTCAAGAACTACGCATCATACTTAGGCAGTTGGTCATATAAGTATTTTTGTACAAGCATGCAGACTGTTGCTGTGTTTGTCTTTATTTGATGGATAGTCACAGTACTTTCTCTGTGTTTTCTTCAGGTCAGTCAGTCTGTCATCTCTCTACAGTCTAATTAAGTCCAGACTGTGTCCATACTTCTACCTCTGCTCCTATCAGGTATGTGTTTAGTTTTTAACTGCAACATAAACCAATGAGCACATCAGTACATGTTGCCCCTCACAGTTAATTCTCCTCCTCTATTCCACTTTGTTCTGTCAGTTTACAGTGTTGTTCAAGGCAGCAGGTCTCGGGGGATCTGGCAACATCACTGCTTTAATTTCTCCTACAACTCGAGGTCTCAGACAAGCAATGAAGGCTGAAGGTGAGACTTGGACTACAGCCCAGAGTTACAAAATTTTGACTTTTACAAATACCCCTTCACAAAATGCTTGTTTTTCTTGCTGTGAAATCTGAAACTTCAATTAAGTACATGTTGGGTTTTTTTTTTGTTTTTTTTAGAAAAGTAATTTGAATATACTGTATTAACTTGTGAACAAATTGAATATAAGTGGAGCAGCATCATTATTGCATGACTTTGCCTCATTCTTTACTGGACCCGTTTACCTTTTTAGGTATAGAGTTCAGTCTCCCTCTAGTGGAGGAGAAGAAGAAGAGCAGGGAGCACCAGGATGAAGAGAAGGAGCCCAAGGAAAAAGAGGAGGCGTATGTGTTGTCTTTCCAAATTTTGTTTCTACACTGTAGTTGTACTTATCGGTGTGTGTCTGACTAGACCTGAGTTGATTTGGCTGCGAGAAAAAGAGCACAAAAACTTCTGCGTCACAAAAGAAAAAGAATTCTGGAGTCAGTTTCTAGTGTTTTGGTGTTAAACATTGCAACACATGATCAACCTCAGAACACTGTTTCAGTAACCCTCAGTTTATGCAGTTACAGCTGTTAGATAAGTAAGTGGTTCTTAACCTGAGGGTTCTAACCCCTAAGTAGGTCACTAAATAATTTTCAGTGGTCACCAGATGGTTGTTCACTGAACTAGCCCTGCTGTCAGTGCCATCGTTGTAAAATTAATTGGAAAATGTTGATGTAAACACATTTTCATTTCATTAATTATGCAGATCATTGGCAGAAGCTCCAGAGGTATCAGCCTGACTTTCTGCAGTATGGACTTGCATGCAGAGCCAAAATCAACATGGCATATCTTTGTTCAGAAGTGCTTGCACATGAAAGCTTTAAACCAGTTGTACTTTAGATATTTGGAAATGAAACGCACCTAACATCAACAAAGCAGTTGTAAGAAACAAATTAAGTGTTTTGAGTGTCTGATCTTATTATATGTTGCTTCAGTACCACATACAGCACTGCACTGACACTACGCTGTGTTTACACACCTTTTAACACCTAATTTAGCTGCACTCATGTCACTATTTTATAGCACAAATGCTCACTTCACACAGTGAAACACTTGAACAGAAGATAAATGGTTAAACTGATGTCCAACTACTGGTGAGGCACAGGACTGATCATTTATTTTAATGTTGCAATACTTTCAGAAAAAAAAAATTGTCATTAGATAAGTAGTGAATGGGGTTTCAAATCTACAAGTTGCACATCTGGTTTTGGTTGAAAACATGTGTTTGCCTTCTGTCTTTGGTTACTTTAACTTTGAAGAAGATGTGGTGTTCAAATGCTGTTGTGTTTGCACCATATAAGTTTGGGAGCTAAGCAGTGAGCGCCAATCCACTTATTTACTCTGGGAATTTGCTGTCATTGAGCTTAGAGGAACCTGTTTCAGCTGCATTCTGCTGAAAGATGTGCTGAGAACCGTATTTCTACAAGACCAAAAGTGTAGTTTAAATCGGCTTTATAATAAAGAGAGGGTTTAGCATTATATCTAAGGAAGACTTGACTAAATTCTTTACATCATGACTGTTCGCGCTGACATGTTTAACTGTGATAATGATTTGAATTATAGGTGCTGTGATCTGAAGGACGATGAAGACTGTCAGACACATGATGACGAAGATGAAGATGAAGATGGCAGCTTCTCCTGGCTGAAGGAGATGGGAGTCCAGGACAAAATCAAGAAGCCAAATGGCATCACCATACAACTGTATCCTCCTGCTTCTTTGGCTGTCAGCTGTCATGTTTCTTTTCTATGTGTTCTCATTTGTGTCATGCGAACAAGCAGTTGAAGCTCCTTTACCTCTGGTTTAGTCGTAAGGAGGGTCACGCTGTGTCTCTGGACCATAAACCAGAGTCTGTGGTGTGCGTGGAAGGATCTCACACTTTCACCCTCATCAACTTCCTCATCAACTGTAAGAGCGTGGTGGCTGCAGCCGGTTCCCAGGCGGGTTTACCTCCAACACTGCTGGCTCCCGTCGCTTTCAGAGGAGCTACAATGCACACACTGAAGGTACTGACACAACCACATCCACACAAAATATACACACATGCTACGTCTGCATCCCTCTGAGAGTGTGGCTTGTTTTTTTGTTCTTTTTTTAGGGCCGCAGTGTGAACGTGAAAAGTCAGGTTGGTTCTACCTACCAGAACATCAGCAGTCTGGAGATCACAGGTACACAGCGACAGGATCTTTTTCATATTGTGCGATGGGGATGGTGTTGTGCTTTTCTAAGTTCTGTAACTAATTATTGGGTATAGCCAGAAGGAAGTAGTGTATTTGTGAGGGACTATTTTTAGCACTAAATGAATCCACATTTGGGACTCTAGAGAGTATTTGGGGTAGCAGGATGTTGTTGGTGGTGCTGAGTCAAAATAATATGTGTGTGTTCATAGTAATGGGAACTAAGGAGCTGTTTCTTCAAGTAGTTTGTGTGTAAATCATTCTTTCACTCTTAGAATCAAAAGAAAAATGAAATTAATTGTTATCAGCATTTGAAGATGTTTTTTTTATTGACTGTATTTGTTTATTTATTTCTTTTACTGCAGGACCTATCCTCCCCTCCTCCCTTCACACCATCACAACTCTTCTTCGACCTGCACAGAAAGGAAACTTCTCAGCTTCTCTGTACACGCACGCACCTACCGCTGTCATGAACATACAATCCGCCAAGCAACAGGTAAGACAGATATACACAGTGCTTCCCATGGAAGGATGAAACAGGCACTTTGTTGGTTGCTGCTAGAGTGCAGAATCTGTTGTTTTTTTTTTTTACATAGTCTAGTGCAAGTGGTTTATTCTGGTGAATTTTAGACGAAATATCACAATTTAAAGCTTAGATTGCATGAACAACAAATACATGCTGATTCAGTCACTGTGATCAGGGCGTATCCTCAAGCTGTGACTTCTTCATAATAAAGTGTGAGGACCTTGTACCTTTCCTAAGATGCACCACCTTTTTCGATTTAACATTTAACGGCTATCACTGTCGTAACTGCTGAGCATCTTTAAACGCAACATTTTGTCAACTTTGAGAAGTGCAATGGGACAGTGAGACTGAGCAGACTGGTTATATTTTGAATTATGGATTGATGCTGGGGTTCTTGAGAAGAACAGAATGTTGTTCAGACAGGTAAGTACAACAACAAATCACACGTAGAAATAAGTCACTGTAGAGAACAGAAAAGTACTGTATTTTAACGTAGCATAGTGGCGTGTAAAAACTGTGCGGGCTTTTGTGCTTAAATATGTTTGAAGGGATTTGTGGATAGGGCTGCAAGGTGCATCGGTGGGTAGCACCCTTGCCTTACAGCAAAAAGGTCGCCGGTTCGTGTCCCGGTGAGGATACCTGGGATCTTTCTGTGTGTAGTTTGCATGTTCTCCCCGTGCAGCGTGGGTCCTCCCACACAGTCCAAAAACATGTTGAGGTTCCTTGGTGATTCTAAATTATCCGTAGGTGTGAATGTGAGTGTGCTTGGTTGTCTGTCTCTAAGTGAGGCCCTGCGATGGACTGGCGACCTGTTCAGGGTGTCCTCTGCCTTCACCCTAAATCAGCTGGGATAGGCTCCAGCCCCCCCGCGACCCTAGTGAGGATAAAGCAGTGTATAGATAATGGATGGATGGATTTGTGGATTGCAGCTGCATAGGAGTTTGTATTGTTTATTAATCTTGATGTTGCAAGAGATATGTTGTTTAAGAGCCTAAGAACTGATCTGTAGTTGAAGCCTGATGTTACCTAAAAAGACTAAACATTTTGTATAAAGAGAGCACAGTGTCAAATCCAACTTTGTATCAGCTGAACTGACTGTGAATCAGAAACAGTAGTAGGTGAAAAGATTTGCCTCTGTGGATAGTAGTCAGTGGTACAGTTTGTCTGTTTCACATCACCGAGTGCTCTTTGACTTTCATTCATTAACTCCAGCTGTCGTTTCTGTGTTATAGGTTGCTGATGGGTCACTGGACCTGTCTGGTTGTGGTCTTCATCCCTCTTCCATTCAGCAGCTGCAGCAGCCGTCCTCCCTGGGGAAGACTGCTCTGACCCACATCAACATGAAGAACTACAGCTACACCTGGAAGAACTAACATTCTTCAAACTGTCTGTCCTCTCAGAGCAGGAAAACATGTGACAGCAGCTTTTGTGTTGTTGGTCTTAACAGCTGCGCCACTCCTGAGTGTTTTAGCGAGATTGCTCTTGTTCACATTAGAAACCGACTGTTTATCTTGAAAAGAATTTAAAATAGATTTTATCAACTTGCACTATGTTTTTACAATTTTATTTTTACTGTTTTTTCCCCCCAGTGTGACTTTTAACAAAGTTAAGTGCCGGTTGCATAATTTCAGGTTGTGTCCCAAACTGCAGTACTAATGAAATAAACACATTCAGTGATTTACTGAGTTTTGGGGAATTATTATTAACCACATTGGAGAATATAGTGATAAAAT